CCCCAAGGCGGGCGGCAGCCCCGCGGGGACGTCTGTAAGCCTGGCCGCGATTCCCCAGGTCAGATAGCGGTGTTGACTGCTGGCCGGACATAAAGGTTACTTCAAGTACCTTGACGGGTCTCTCAGTATGTGCAAAGGGTCTCTTTAGTCGTATTTATGCTCCTTAAGCCCCAAAATATGAACTTACCTTTTGCAGCATTCTAGCATTGATTAATACCCACTGTACCACTGCACCACGTTCACTCCTGTCTCGTACATGCTGCCGGGATGGTATAGAGACACCTTAATGTAAATTCAGACCTGCTCTGCTCTTCAGAAAAACTCCAGTCGACTAATAGCTTCCTAAGTTTTGAATGGCTCTCTTGCAAAAATATTTTTTCTGCAACTGATACATGTACTGAAATTATCAACAATGAAACATTTACATATCAGACAAGAAAAGTGTGGCTGCGGCTTAAAATCCATGTAATTTTTAATTCAAAGATTACCAGCATCATTAAACTAACCAACTATAATACATCTAGCAGGTTGCAATGCGTATGATTCCTCTAGAAAGTTCCAGTAAAAAAGATTAATTTATATACAGAGCTGAAATATACAGTTAGCTGTCATTACAGAGCATCCTTTAACAACCACAGCCAGGCGAACACGGTTATTCACAGTACATGGATACACAAACTGGTGTTGTCTAAAAAGAAATAAAAGTTCCTGTATTTTTCTAGAATGAAGCCTATGCACAGGAAAACAATGAACTACCCTGACTGGAAGTGAGGAAACGGTGACCAGTATTTGTTCTACTCAGTTTTTTTCATCTTCCTGGCATTGCTGTTTTATGTCAATACCTGGTGACTTGGCCTTCTGTTGCACAAGCAGCACAATGTTAATTCTGATTCCTTCTTCACCTCACATAACTGCCACTGACATGGCAATATCGATAGCCAAATGAAATTTCAACCTGAGCATTAGAAGCAGCTTACCTTCTGAATGAAACAAAAACAAGTACATACACAGAAGTACATAGAAAGGATTCACTAATTGCCTCTCTCACAAGACTCAGTAGACAAACTAAAATATACAGTGGCAGCAGTTGGGTTTAGAAATTATTTTATGCTCTGCACTTGCAGAGAAGAGTGGAATTCAAAAAGTAAATACTGGAACTAAGAACACTTGAAATTACAACCAGTTTTCAAAGGTACTACAGGTAGATTATCCACTCATGAAAGTCAGTGACTAGATCTCATAATGCTGAGATTCTCCCACTCCATCTCTGGAGCTGTGGTTCCAGAAAAGTATGGATTTCTTTGGATTTGTTTCTTCAATCACAAAATCTTGACAACATAACCTTCCCTTACATCTGTAAGGCTTAATGGATAAACAAGATCCAGTGGACCTACTACATGGAGATTTTCAAAAACCCTTTGATGAGGTTCCACACCTAAGGTGGTATAAAAAACTAAGTTGTCACAGGACTGGAGGAAAGGTCATTTTATGGATTTGCTAAAAGGTTACAGGATACAAAAGTTACGGCTGTTTAAAAGGCAGAAAGGGAAGAGCACAGCATAATGGTAAATTTTCAGGATAGAGAACAGTTAGTAGTGGGGATTGGTAGGGCCAGTTCTATTCAATATCTTCATCAGTGATCAGGAGAAAAGAGCATGCACACAGTGAAGGCAATACTGAACTCTCCAGGTAGTTATACTGAACTTCTCCAGGTAGTTATATGATATATAGAAGGCAAATAAAGCCAGCAGGAGCTCATAAAAAGGTGGCAAATGAGCTTCTACAAAGATAAACACAAGGCAATAAATACATTTAGGGAAGAATAATCTAAACCAGGCATACATGGTGCTGAATTTGCATCTGGCAGCTATCACTCAGAAAAGCAATCTTGGAGTCATTCATAATGGTTCTCTGAAATCATCTGCTTAGTGTGCAGGGGCAGCCAAAAAAAAGCAAACAAAATGGTGGGCATCATCTGGAGAGGTATTGAGAACAAAATAGAAAGTGTCATTTTGCCACTATTTAAAACCTTGGCCCACCCCTCTTCTTCAGTGCAGTGCATGGTTCTGGCCTCCAGATGTCCAGAAGAATGTAGTGAACTCAGAGAAGATCTGGAAGAGGTCAACTAAAATGATCAAGCCAGTGGAGCATCTAACTTACATGAGAAATATAAAAAGATGAGACCTCAGCTTGGAGGCTGAGGAGGATACAATCAAAAATCGTAAAAGTAACTCAGTATTGCACTAAATTCTGTAATAGGAGAACTAGAGGCACTTGCTGAAATAAGAGGTCAGTGGTAAAAGTACTTCTTTACCCAGTGAATGGTAACTGTCAGTTTGCCACAGGTGCTTATGGAGGCAGATTGTACCAGGAAATTCAAAAGAGAAGAAAAATGAATCGCAGTATGAGTGAATACTAAAGGTTGGGGCAAACTCTTTAACATCCTTAATCCAATTACAGCTGACGCTGCAGAACTATGAGGAATGCAGACAGCAGTTATTAACCAGGCTTACATGCTCTTCCTAAATAACGTCTCTTACTGCGACTGTCAGAGATAAAACGCTGGGCTTGTACTACTAGTCTGGTGTGAGAAGGTGGTTTTTACGCCCTTATGTTCCTTTTGTGTCTTCTAAGACAAAAGACGCTGAACTGCACAGCTGTTATTACCGTACTCTGTCCAGGGTAAAACTACAAACCAAGTAATTGTTTTTGTGGTTCTTTTTTTTTTTTTTGACTATTAAGGCACGCTTTGTCATCTTGCTCATTTTCCATTGTCCTGTGCAAAAATATAGTCAGCACTATCACATTTACAGTTATCAAACACGCAGCATGAAAGATTGAGAAATAGCATAACACAAGCCAGTTGACCACAAACCCGATTTTTTTAAAAGAGTAGATATGCAAATCAGTGTCACCCTGATGATTACGAGCAATTCTAAAACAAGCAGATATTAACAATATTATAGGAAATAACTGCTGTGCCTGTTTCTCAGTCATTCCTTTTCGTGGAAAACTAGTTTATCTTCTTTTCTCTTTTTACAGACTCCACACTGGGCTAAACCCATAGTTCATCCAATATCCAAATGTTCAGCCAGTTTGGCTTCCATCAGAAGAGGCCATTTTGTACACTTATCAATGATTTGAAGTAGTCAAAAACCATGAATCAGACTTCAAAACTTAGAAAGAATGGCCTAAAGTAGAGTGGACTGCAATTAGTTTTATTGCCTTCTGTTTTCTGAGCCTGTGTGGCACCTTTTGATCCTATTTCCTCAAGAAACTTGAAGCCCACAAACTTAAGAGTTCTGTTTGTGTCAGGGAAAACTGCAAGTATCATTACTTTCAGTGAAGATTTGAAATCTTAAGCAAAATACCAGATGATGCAAAATATATGACAAAATTGGAAGTACTGGTAATACTGGAATAGAAACAAAATATGAAACATGGCTGAGTCTCAAGCTTAACTTGGAATTCTGGTCAGAATTTTCATAGCTAATAGAAGTAATCAGACATAGTTTTCAATCCATTCCTTTAAGCAGAGAAAGCAAGCTGTAAAACTTGAGTTGGCATCCAGATGTCTTCTGAATTTTGTAGCTTTGATTCAAATTTGTTTCCAACACGATACTGGGAGAAAGAGGGAAACAGAAGTATTTGACATCAGCTATGAAGGCCAATGGTTTGTATGATCCTCTCATTTGTTAGAAGTAGCTTCTAGCACTACTTGTTTGAATGTGTTTTAGTGGTTTACATGAGTTTTCAGATAATCTAAGGCACTATGCATTTACCTCCCTTATCACAGATTCAGGCTTAGTGTCACACTGGATGTTTCTGTAGCTTCACACATCCTCCCAGTGGGTTATCATTTTTCAGTGGCAGTAGTGGGGTGATGAAATTCCTTTCCCTCCTCTTCCACAGGAACCATTACGTCGTTCCCTGGAAAAGACTCTGTTTCCTGCTCTGGATAGTGCATTGCCACTTCCTCTTCCATGTTCTTCTGGGCATCATCGTTACTTTCACATGCTCTAGCAGCACAGTTCTTGCCACTAGGCACTTCTGAAATGGACCCCACAATAACAGTGTCGGCCTTCATGATGTATATTTTTTCTGAGGAAGGAAAAAATAGTGCTGAGTGTAGTTAATGATCACTGCTGACTCTAGAGATGGTTTCTTTTCATGCAAATTTTTTATTTGGGACTCAGTTTTTCCTTCCCCC